TATAAGCGAGATCATGTGATGTTTGTCTTTCTCTGCCTGGCTTATTTCACTTAGCATAATTTTCTCCAGGTCCATCCATACTGTCCCAAAGGGTACAAGACTCTTCTTCTTTACAGCTGCGTAGTATTCCATGGCATGAATGTCCCACAGCTTTTTATCCACTCATCTACTGATGGGCACTAAGTAGATCTANCCCACAGCTTTTTTATCCACTCATCTACTGATGGGCACTTTCCAGATCTAAGCTATTGTAAACTGTGCTGCTATGAACATCGGGGTACATATATTCTTTCTGATTAATGTTTCAGGATTCTTAGGATACATCCTAGGAGTAGAATCACTGGGTCAAAAGGCAGCTCCATTTTTAATTTTTTGAGGAATCTCCATACTGTTTTCCATAGTGGCTGCACCAGTCTGCACTCCCACCAGCAGTGCACCAGGGTTCCCCTTTCTCCACACCCTCACCAGCACATGTGTGTTTGTTGATTTGTTGATGGTAGCCATTCTGACAGGTGTGAAGTGATACCTCATTGTGGTTTTAATTGGCATCTAGTGTCTATTCAAGTCCTTTGCCCATTTCTTAGTTGGGTTGTTTGTCTTCCTCTTGCTGAGTAATATGAGTTCTTTGTACACTTTGGAAATTAGGCCCTTATCAGATGCATCCTTGACAAATATGTTTTCCCAGACCATGGGGTTCCTTTGTATTTTGAGGCTGTTTTCTTTTGCTGTGCAGAAGCTTTTTAGTTTGATATAGTCCCATATGTTTATTAAAAATATGGAATGCTTCACGAATTTGCGTGTCATCCTTGTGCAGGGGCCATGCTAATCTCTGTATCGTTCCAATTTTAGTATATGTGCTGCCGAAGCGAGCACTGAACTAGTAATTTCTTAAAACTAGGTCCCTCTTTTGACTTTCCTATTTTTGTCAATGGTATCTTTATTCCTGTGACTTTCTCTTCTCTCTTGTAATCCACATCCAGTAAATCAGCAAGAAATATTGATTCTCCCTGTTACAGTTCCTCTGGCAGATATCCCTTTGTTTTTCAGGCTACTACTCAAACTGATTCAAATACTTACCATTTTTTATCAGATGTACTTTGCTAGAGCAGTGTTTTTATTTGTGGTCTAGTTTTTCTGGTTGGAAGCTCTTGAGGTTATTTGGATAACTCCTTGAATATCTATTGGTGTGTCTTTTAATCAGATACCTGTGTAGAAAGGGCCTAACTTCAGATTTCTGGGGGGTGGGGGAGTTCCTCCCAGGTTTTATCATTTTTCTAATTTTCATATCCAGGGTAAAATGGTTGCTGTTTTATATTTGTTTTGATTTGCTTTTGTTTAGTATTTGTTACTCTACTAAACTTTATAAACTTTTGGGAGGCAGGGGATTAAGTTAGAAATATATTTAAATATACAGGGAATATAGAAGAGTTGTGTTAGATGTTATGGGGTAATAGATTCAAAATATGATATATTACCAACTTGCCCTTATACAAGTTTTCATGAAATAAAAATGAAGTAGAATAAACAGTAAAGGATAAACACATTCATAAATTTTAAATATTTTAATATTATTTAAAATAATTTAATCAATATTTTAATATTTACAATGTAAAATATAACGCAATTTCTGTTTCTAACTAGGGAGCTAATCAAACTTTCTGAAAATTTCCCTTTATAATAAAAACCTGTGTAAAATGTTTTTAAAAAAATAAGTACTCAAAAGCATTAATAAGGTGACAAGAATATAAGGAACTCTCAGACTGGAGAATGGGTAAAGGCAAGACCCAGGGGCAAGGAGAGCAGTGTTTGTTCTGCATAAATTGCTTTACCAGATAAACATGAACTTCATAGATTTGTAGCTTCCAGAGATTCAGGTAAGGTGAGAAAGTCTGTCCAAGATGACTTTCCCAAAGGAGTCCCAAAGGAGTATGCTATAAATGTGAATAGGAAATAATCTTACTTCTCCCCAGGAAAATCAGCTATCTCCAACCTTGGCATTGATTTGGGGGGTGGAGGAAGGTAAGGTGGGGAGTGGATCACCAGTGAGATTTTGAAACCACAAGCCCTCCCTTAGGTTGTAGCCCAAATTCCCAGTACTTGCATGATTTGAAAACCTAAAGCCAGTAATTTAACTTAGAATGATTCCAGGGTGGTGGAGCCCCAAAGTGCCTGACAGATATTCTTTCTAGAGGTACTTATCTTCACGAGGTCTAAAAGAATGCCCCAAAATAAAATTCTAAGGTAAATGACCAGTTCAGTCCAACTAAGTAAACTCAGAGAAGCAAGGCATTGTGAACAAGAAGTGTAGACAACAGCAACAATCAGAAAACGGAATGTTTAGTCACAGTCTTAAAAAGCTATTTAGTGCCCTGGCCAGGTGGCTTAGTTGGTTGGAGTGTCGTTCTGTATACCAAAAAGTCGCGAGTTTGATTCCTGGTCAGGGCACATACCTAGGTTTCAGGTTTGAACCTTGGTTGGGCACATACAGGAGGCAACTGATCGATGTTTCTCTATCACATCAATATATTTCTCTCCCTCTCTCTCTAAAGTCAATTAAAAAAAAAATATCCTCGAGTGAGGATTAGGGGAAAAAAGCTATTTAGTATATATAAGAAAATAAAAGAAAGGCTAGAAAATATGTACAAGGAACAAGAACCTAAGATTGGGTGAACAGATTTGAAAATTGACCAAATAGAATATTGAGAAATGAAAAGTAAAATAACTGAAAATTTAAATGGATACCTGGTAGTTAATTTAAGCAAAAATCTTAACTGAGAAGGGTGGGACAAGAAGCAGGTCTAAATTCTCACACTCCATAATAAAAGGTAAATAATGTCTACAATGGATGGAATCAAAAGATATCAGGATTTTAAAAAATTACATGGAGG